AGATGTGTATAAGAGACCAAAACATATATATAAATCTACATTCTCTACATCTCAAACCAATTTAATATTGATTGCTTCCATTATCAATAATATATAAAGATCATGAATCTGCAGTTAAAATTAATCAGAAAGTCATCCTTGTATAGTCTATGTGTAACATATCCAACTATTCATCAAGTACCTCGACATTTAATGTTCATTAAATGACAGACAATAACGCAATCTTGATATTTAGAGGTCCTCTGGGAACCTCCCATGAAGGCTTGATATGTTTAGCATTTATCCTCTTTTCACATAAATTCTGATGTTTAGTGATAAATAAATTGTTTTCTGAATACTTTTTCATCAAGTAACACATTAAGTGTACAGTTCTTGTTAAAATGATGATAATCGATTATTGTTTGTTCAGACCTTTCAATCATGAATAATAGTACTGTAGTAAGTCTACACAACAACAAGCCAAAGTCGATAGAGAACCAATTTTTGTATGTTCTATCAAAAATGTGCCCATTCTTGATTCATCCATGCTGAAACTAAAACCTATCTTTTTCTTACCATGTAGTGCATTCAATTTCAGTCAACCAGTCATTTCCTTGTTTGTACACTTTGTTTGCTCTTCACTGTGTACTTTCTGCGGATTTGATCATTTATTTGAAATTGGCATATTGAAAATGTTCGTATAAATTAACTAAAAGCTTTGTTACATGGTCACTGTAACTTTGTAAATTACAGCATACTACTTACTACAATTTGATACTGTCTGTGGGTGCTGAGGTCTGTGATAATAATAGATAAACCCGTGAAAAATTCAACTATATATATATATGTTAATTTTTATATAATTAAGAATGATAAATAGGTCATCAACTTCCAGAAAACCACATATAAAATTGATTAGTTGTTTTCTGATTTATCACAAAAATCCTAGTATTGATACCTGTGAATCACAGGTGGGCAACGTGCAGCCCGCGATTTTTTTTGCTTCCCGCTAATATGAATTTGAAACCCTATGTGTGTGGGCCGCCAAGCAACATTGACTAGAAAAACACCTTGTTTTTTATGGCCCGACATCAATCATACTGTATGTAAAAAGTAACATTAAAACTAAGAATAAATTGGTGTAAAAGCTGTTCTTTGAGGTTTTAGGAAGCAAAAAAAAAAATGTTTGAGTGCGGCCCTCAGTGTTAAATTAAAAATTCACTTTGGCCCTCCAACTGATTTTTATGCCCACCCCTGCTGTGAATACATTGTATGATGAGTCTACCATTATTTTGTCATTAGAAACTACTAGGTAATATTGACTTTAAACTTATATTATTATATTTATTATTTGATTTTCTCTTTTTCAGTTGGAGAATGCTAACCATTCTCAACAGCTAGAGAACATAGCAATGGCACAGTTGGCGCTCATGCAAAAGAAACCTATATCACCAGGTCGAAAGGCCTGGCAAGTCCTGTCATCTAAGGTATAGAGTTTAATCATTATGCTTCTTTTAATTTTGTAACTCACTGTCCTTTACACTCATATTAATTGTATTTATTGCGTAAAATGTAATTAAGATAAATCAAGCTGTGGGCGCACACTGCGACGACTGCCTTCAGCCAATTTGATTCTTTTGAGAACGCAATGCGTCAAGGAGGGTGTAATGCATCAGTAGTCAGTATTGCACTGTCAAGAGCTTAGGTAGAGAATAGATGGGTTCGTCAGCTGATGCATGGATATGTGCAATGTATTATGCCTGGAGCACATTGTCGGCAGCCAAATCTATTTTGCAACAAATCTTTTCCCAACAATGATCACTAAGATAACCTCCCCATGGGCAGCACACTAGTGTTGTATCAGACAAGTGGTTCCACATACCTTGGATAAACTTTCCGACGTAGTGTGTGTCAGGGTTAAGTTTACAGTGATAGAGACAAGGTGACTTTATCCTCAAGCTTTTTACTTTTGCAGAGAAGCGCATGTCTAAAGTAACTTTCATGCATTACCTTAACTTAAACTACTCGTTTTTAAAAAGCATGACAATTATTGAACAACCTATCACAGACAGTATGACTATCATTGATAGCAATCTTATATGAACAGCTTCTAGGCATATTTTAGAGAGAAAGTTGCTTCTTAATAAATTTCTTTTGGTGTTGTTTCATCCATATCACAACTAACATCTAATTACACGTGTTTGGTTTATGTTTTGATTTTAACCTATCACTGTAGGTCAAAGGCCAATTGGTTGGACAGAAGCAGGAAGATGAAGAAGAGCGTTTAGATTCCCCGAGTAAAAGTCGTAATAAAGCTCCACAACGGACAAAGAAAAAAGTATGATATTTACAATGGTGCATGCTATTTAATTGTAGAGGCACACTTACAATTATTAAATTGTTAGGAATTTGTCAAAATCTCATTATTTTTTCCACAATTAACTTTTACGAATACTTGCTGTAAATGGAAACTTTAAAAAAATTGATAATTCAAATTTCTATGTAAAATATAGAATGTAAAAAGTAAATTTAAACTACATGTTAGTGGTGATAAATCTTCTAATTTTGAGTCCATATTATGAAATTAATAAGAATAAGAAGTAAATCAGTTCTGAGATCATTGATTGCACAACATCCTACCACATTTCTTTATTAAAATTTTAATTATTCCATTATATAAGGCATGGTGTATTAGAATTTTTTTTTTGTGACATTCTATGTAAAATGTATTGAAAGCATGTATAATTCTCTTCCATAAGAGATTGCAATTTCAAATTTTAGATTTCTGTTCAGATTTAATGCAGTGTGCCAATTTCACCATAGATGTATCCCATGAAGTTATAGAAAAATGTTCATCATACTTTGCATCAAATGCATCTCAGGAGAGATAGAAAGAACTATGACTTCATAATAGCATGGAGGTATTAAATACTCCATGATAATATTGATTAGACCAATCAGATTATAGAAGCACAGAAGAAGTTCACAATATTGGCCTCTAATTGGTCAATTTTATCACTTTAATTGTCATATGTAGGCCAACTGAAATATCTATGTACAATGTTATTAATTGGAATAGAATGCCAATGAATCTTTAATTAGAAAACTTATGACGAAATTTTTTTTTTTTTTTGACCTTTGCAATTTATTTCAAATGGATAATTCATAATAACACTTGGTTGGTTTTTAACTCTTGGTTATTTTTAATTCTGATAATTAAATATTTATATATTGTATTATAAATTATTTTTTATTAATTATGAATTTTCATATATTGTTAGTGTATTAAAAATGAAGTTAATGTATCTATATTTGTTTTGTATAAATCTTTTCCGATGTGTTTTACTTATTCTGAAAGTCTATAAACATTAGATAATAGATGTCCTTTTGAAGCATTATGAAAATGATAAAAGGCTTAACATTATTTGGAGCATAATAAGCAGAGCTAGAAATAATAAATGAATAAAAGACGTTAAAATTCATGTCAAGTGGAAAAGAGAATAATATATATTCATATATCTACAAAATTCATTAAAGAATTTACTTATTTCTTCAAAAATTTGTTCCTAGAAGCGTTCGATCCGCACGTTCTCAAGCACGGATAGTGGAATTGGGAGTGAAAAATCTAAGGATGATGCTCAGGTGTCTGGCAACACTTTCCGTGATGGAATGGACAGTCGTAGTAGGAATGGGAGTAAGAAAAAAATTGTTCTCTCCAAGAAGCTCTCTGATTTAGTTGTGTATACTAAATCCTCATCATTCGCAGGATTTAAACCTGGTAAAATATTAAAGTTTTCTTTTTTATGGTGTATGTGCATTTAATTTCATCTATCAAGTTGTTTTCAACAGTTATCTATTTTGTATTTTGTGCAATATAAATGTTTAACCTTTAACCTTTTTATACCAGATACATAATCAAATCAAAATTGGTTTCTGGACCCTAGAGTCCAAAAAATGAATCACTAAAAATATATTATCATCACATAGTTACAGACCATATCATCTTTTGATTGTATGTACTACATAAATGTGTCCCATGAAAGTATATTAATGTATTGTAAATCAATTTCATTAAAATTTTAGCACCATTCTGGGAGCTACCATCAATGGGGGAGATGCGTGCAATGAACTTGTGTACTGTGCACGCAAGTCAAGTCGTGCAATTTACATGCAATAATCTCTGCCGGGTGTATCCATCAGCATACCGAATCGATTCAAGTAATTATAATCCAACACCTATGTGGAATGCTGGAATTCAAATAGGTAAAGATTTATGGATACTGTTGATATATTAGAATACAGTATTCTACCAATGAAAGCCAAAATGCTAGAGAAGCAACAGTGCTCTGAGAAACAATAGATAGTTTTCGCCGCACGGCGTTAACCTTAACTTTAACGTTAGTACCTGACATGCAACGTGATAACTCCGCCCCTTTTGTAAACAAATCGAAATATGCATGCGCAAACCCATAACTAACATACGTCGAGCATGTATAATCCTGTATAACATACTCCAAAACGCAAGATGAATAAATTATGATGTCATCCGTTAACGTTAAGGTAAACGTAGTGCGTAGTGTAGAAATACAATTGATAACTTAAAATTGATAAGCTAAAATGCTAACGTGAGCTAACAGACAGAAATAGAGCCGGCAGAACATACTCGTCTTTCACTGATATGGGGGTGGGGAAGGGTCATGGCCATGAGTAAGTCCCCAACTTTTCAACCGCAATTTAATTTCATAAGTCAAGAAGATGCCTAAAAATTGTTGAAATGAATGCGTAAATGACCTACTGTAGGTTTTAACGAAAGACTGCTGTACAGCCAGTACATTTTATACTGGTTTCTCTGCCAACAAACATCTGAATTACCTATAGTACACGACTCAAGTGCGTGTGTCTTCATTATATTTTGAGAAGTATGAGTAAAGATAAGATTGGTTTTTGGCACATTCGCCCGCACTTTAAAGTAGGTAAAGTAAAAAAATACATCAAAGACAATGTTTTTGAGTTTTATATTCTATGGTACATCACGAGATCAATTAGATCTCTATGATTGCCTAACATCTGAAATCAAAGCAAAACTGTTTGGCCACCTTTAGAGTTTGTACAATTTCCCCCACCTTCCAAAACAGGTCTGCACCCTTTGGGGGTGGGGGGAGTGCTTAACTTTGTTGTATATATTCAGGGCATACTTACAAATATCTTGTGGTAATGTCTCAATTCATTCTTTATATTAATATCATAAAACATTTCAAATATATATGAAAAGCATAATACTAAAATAAATTTTAATAATATGGTAAAATTAATATTATTATCAATATATTGATTACTCATGCTGTTTATTAATTTCAAAGTGAGCACATCAATCATCAATTAATTATAATATAGATAAACAATAAATTCATTATGGTACACAATTTTTATTTTTATTTTAACCTGAAAGATTTTTGTATTTCAGTTGCTCTCAACTACCAAACAGAGGGAAGGGCGATGCAGCAGTGCAAAGCTAAATTCAGTTACAATGGTCAGTGCGGCTATGTCTTGAAACCAGACTACCTTTGTGATAGTAAGTCATAAAGTATTAATGATGGTATATGTTTGTGGTCAAATATGGAAACTTCAGAAGTAAGCACTAAATTACTAATTTGGAGGAGGCAGAGATAGAAAGATTTACATTTTCCAAACTTTAGAATATCTTTCATTTATTATCAACCAATTTAATATGGAATTTTACTGGATGTAGTGCATAAACTCTTGATACAACCAACTGAGAAGAAAACAATGGATGAAGTAAAGTATATACAAATTAAGGAATTCATTTATTTATCAAAAGTTTATCCATCTAGCTTAATAGCTCCACCCAGGCAATATATTATTTATGATGTAATGTATCACTTGTAACTATTATGAGGAAGGTTAAATTTAACTTAATTTATTTGAGTCTATAAAGTGTCCCATTGGTATTATTAATAAAGTAACCTAGTAATTATTATTTATTTCCATATTATATATATCAATGATTTATGTATTATACTAAATGGAATCTGAGTGTTAGGAGATAATTGGTCTATTAATAATACAGATTTAATCCGTTTGGAAACAAGGGTATGTCCAAAAGTAGGTTGCACAGCATAATAGGATTAATAATTCCAATAATGGTGGAATATGGTACTGGTTATTTTAAAAGTAATTGCCCATTTTGTAATATTAATGTTAACACCAGGCCTCAAGAATCATAGCCTTATTACCCCATTGGAACAAATACTGTACCTATAGAACACACACTTATATACACCTACTTGTGTATTCATGTTCTATATTTGCATACTTTATTGCACAGTATGGAAATGGAAATCAACTTGTATAGCACCTTGCACAAATAATAACCATTTCAAAGTGCTTAAACAAAATGAAAAATTGAAAAATAAGCTATAAATTATTCTAAAACTAACCAGTAACAATTTACCAAAAGTAAATATAAATATAAACACCTTGTCATCGTTGTTGTCATTTGAGTCATGCCTGACCCTTAGTGACCCTTCTAATGATTGAGTTCCCTCGTGCCTCTCCAATGCTGTTCTTTAGGCTGTGTTAATGAACATCCCTGTGAGGTGCCTAAATCCATCTGTCCAACAAATTTAAATTTGGATGCCATGTTGGTAACTTCCTTCAACACATCCTTCAACAATGATGTTGTCTCCACCTCTCCTTGATACATGACCAAAATACTGTAGTTTGCTTTTGTCAATCTTGGTCAGTGGGGAGGGCATGTCTTCTCCTATTAAGCTCTTGACAAACAAATTTGTCTTGTGCTCTTTCCATTCTCCTCCAGCACCACATCTTGACAGCATTTATCCTGTTCCTGCACAAGTTTCAGAGCCATACATGGCAATTGGGAACACAAGGGCATTGATGACAGATTTTTGTTGTTGTTCTAGAGGTTCCCCTGTCTTTCCAGATGTCTGTTAGGGCAATGGCTGCAGTAAACACCTAAGCTAACTTATAAAATGCATGGTAAACTACAAAATATTAAATAAAAAATGTACCAACTATGTGCTGTATTTGTATACTGTTTGTATAAAAATTAAATTTGGTTAAATTAACAGGTATACAGATATACTATAATGCTATTACATTGAGATTTTTAAAGTATCTAAATTTCAAAATTCAAACTTTTTTTACTTGCCTTATCTACAATTTACAATAGGCTTACAAGTGGCGATTCAATAAATAGAGCAATGCTTGTTAAAATAATGGAACGCAGTAACTACAATAATACTATTAATAATAATAAAAATAGTAATGATAACAAAAGTTGCAAGACCAGTTATCAAATTAGCAAGAATGAGAATAAAATATGAGATATATGGTTGAGCTTGAATGTGGTGAATGTGGAGCAGTTCCGTAGCGATCCAGGCGAGGAGTTTCAGTATTTAGGGCCAAAGACGAAGATTGTGACTAAGCGGGACAAGGTGCAAGATAACTGTTGGTGGTACAGTTTTGACTGCCTAGTGCAATAATTGTGGATACAATTATTTTTGATAAATTTGTTTCAACAAGATATATAAAATTGCCAACATTACTTATTGTGGTTGAAAGACCAAATCTGAACCACTGCATCAACTGCTCTCAAATGCCAATGTTTTAAAAATATAATTGTATAGCTATGGATAAATTTAACACATCAAATGCTCTTTAATTTGTAATGTTTAGGTATTTACATCTTATGAATTATGTCCCATATTTTATGGTCTGGAAATTTAGAAATCAGACCTTTGTGAACTTACCATTTGGATTCATTGAATGTAATATGAAGTCAGGTTTGGGTCATACTGTAACGCTTCATAAATGTCACTTTCTATAGTTTATGATAGCTGCATATGCTATTGATTGAGATTAAAATGGCTACTGAAAAACGGTAATAAGTTATACCATATTTCTTTTGCTATTTTCTAACACTAGCTGAAACAGTGTTTGACCCAAATTGCCAAGGGGCTTTACCAAACTTGCAGAAGAAACTCCTAACACTCCAGGTAATCAGTGGCCAACAGCTTCCAAAGCCACCTCAGAGCCTATTAGGGGAGAGGGGTGAGGTAAGTAGTCAATACAGAAAAACATTTTTGATCTCTTCCTGAAACACATAACAATTTCTTTTTTTTTTTGCAAAATCAAAAAATTAATAAAATTCAACAAAAATAAAAACAATTAAAACAATATCCATAAAACAAAATTCAATGAATACAGTGTATATTATTATCATTTAAAGTAAGCCTTCAGAAATTCTGAAACTGTGTTTCTGTCAGTTGGATGCATTTTGCAATTCTCCAGAGTCACATTAAAGTGCCAAAAAAGAAAATTTTAAATTTTATCTCAACTGTAAAAATGTTCTAAATCATTTGGCATCAATTAGCCATTCAACAATTGTTTCACCAAAATAAAAGAATAACTCTCCCAGCAGGAGTATGTGTCTATGTTCTATACTGCATATACTATATATTTTTATTATCTTTGGTTGGTCATTTCTTTTTTGCTCTTTCTTCTCTGATGTCTGTTGCATGATTTTTTCAAAAATCCATAATTTATATGTTGTGTGTATAAAACGACCCCCTATTTTTCGATCGTAATTTGCTATTTTAAGCCTCATCTTAATACGCAAGTGTATATGGTATTTTATTTAACTCATTGGTCTAGACTAATGTTTTTTTTTTCTTGGTAGATAATTGATCCATTTGTTGAAGTAGAAGTGATTGGTCTTCCTGTTGATACAGCTAAAATGGCTACCAAGACAATACAGGACAACGGTGAGACTGACCAATGATTTAACTGGCCATTATGATTATTTGAATTTATTTGCTGGCAGATTCTAAAAGTAATTTATAACTTTGAAAAAGTTGCATTGAGATACACAAAGATGTAATTCTTAATTAAATTGTATTTATTTTATATATAATATTTTATTTTTTAAACTCAGGACCAAGGATGTGCCAGTGAACTTAATCACTTTAAGAAAAACAATCCTTTCACATGACAAATATATAAACAAGATGTTCTACATGAACTAAGTCCCATTACGAGGCTTAGGGAGTGATTGTGAGAAAAAAATTCTGTTGCCATGACAGAAAATGAACCCAGAACTACCAAGCTATTCAACTCAAGTTTTAAATTTGATTTTTACATATTAACTTATTTATTTTTTAAACAACTTTTTTTTAGGTTTTTCACCAATTTGGAACAGTACTATGCAATTTGGAATCCAAGCAATGGATTTGGCTTTGATAAGGTTTGCTGTTTGGGATGAGGATCCCATAGGAAGGGATTTCATAGGCCAGGCTACTCTACCACTATCCAGTCTCACTTCAGGCTACCGCCACATCCACTTGGATGGCCTAGAACAAGCTACCATCTTTGTTCATATCAGTATAACAGACTTTGATGAAATGGTAAGAGAAAAGAAATATTAATTTAAACACCTTTTTTTTTATTTGTTTAACCTTCCTCTATAACTGTCTCTTATACACATCTAGATGTGATTGTCAAAAGAATGTTTTATTTTACATGTATCCTTATTTTTTTCATCTTACTGTCTGTCATGTTTAATTTATTTAGCTTCTTATTCCTATGAAGTTTGCTGTTCCTAAAATGAAGGTAAATTGCCTTGGTCTTTAGCATGTGGAACCAGGCACCTGATGGTTTGCATGTACCTCAATGTCCCATGCATGATGTTATTTATTGTTACTCCTAATTTAGTGATATCTTTTAAACATACATTTGTACTGGCTTTATTTTTTTGCAATACTAAAATTTTAATTCTGTGTTTAATCAGTCTACATCTACACAAGTAGTCAAAATGTATATATCACTTTAACTTGGTATCTTAGTTTAGCCTCAATATAAAGAAATTAAACAGAAAATGGCTCATTATTTTTTATGTGAATGGCAGTGACAATATTGACATGACAAGACACTTCAAGAGGAATAAGTGCAAAATGAGTTGATAAAAGTTTCCCCCACCATCCCGATGCCATTGGGTGGCGGGGTATAACATTTTCATACAGTATCTTGTTTCTACCTTTGCCTTATAAAAGGATTGCTATATAGAAAGTGATTACTGTATATATTTAAAAAAAAAAACTCAAGCTGTATTGTTTTGAATTTGTTTATAGCTGCTCTAACTCAATGGTTCCTCAAAATCGGTACCAATATTTTATGTCAATTCAGAAGACTATGTGTCCAAGGTTTACAAAACAAAGCACTTAATTGTCTTAAAAGTCTTCAAATTCCAAAAATCCCCATGTAATGACCGTGGTAATACATATTGGAACGGAAGAGACTATATGAGAGACAATTCAATCTATTTTAACTAGTACTTAGTTAATACAGAATGTGTGTATGCAATTATCTACTAAAATCATAATCTTGAAACACTTCTACTTTGCCGATGCATACATCTATGTTCGTTTGTATTATTTGCTAGAAGTAGGGCATTGAGGCAAGCGTTGCTATTTTGACTGATAAAAATAATCAAACTTTGACAACTCAATTACTTAAATATGTTCCTTGGAGGTTTTACATTAGATTTTGAGAAGTTGCCACTTTGAAGTTCATGTCCTTAAGGGCTTTAGAATAATATATTGATTCAAGTTGGTAATTTTCTCACAATGGTTAGGTGTTGCTGTGGCTATTTTTGTGCAAAACATTCTGCTTTGACATTTTGTATATGCTGAATTTCTCCATGACGTACATTTTTAAAACTATGTGCTAATTACTTAAAACATTTGTAGATTTGTAATTTATTTTTATTCACATATTATTTTGTGCTTCATAACAGATGTCACAGTATATATTCATCTTTAAACAAAAGTAATTTTTTCAAATTATTATCAGCAGAAAATACACTATACTGTGGGTATGGGGTGTAGACGCCTGATCAAACAAATGGACTTTTTCATATAAATTTGTTTGGCTTGTTTTGACCACATAACAAAACCTTTTTAATACTGCAAGAAAGACAAAAATGAACAAATTTAGCGCGCTACACAGCGCAATGTTTGGGTGATTTCATTATCCAAAAGGAGTACTTAAAAATGAACTTTTTTAAACGATCAATCATTAGTGAAACACTATTGAAAATACATTCCCAATTTATGCATAGCACTTCAGAAATAAGGTATGTCTAATATCAAGCATACTCATTTATTGAATTTTAACAAGCCTTTGATTCAGGAGGTACTGTTATTTTCTTCAGTTCAGAAAATGGAACACGCCAATTCCCTAATCAACATCACCGAAAGCTGTTGGCGATCGCGTGTAGCGATTGTATGGAAACCGAGCTTTTGCAATAATATTATTATCCAATAATATTATTATCATAATAATATTATTATCCAATAATATTATTATCCAAGGGGAGGGCTTATTGGAACAGTCCATTTTCTGTCTTTCCATGTTTTTTGGAAGTCCAACGATGACCTAATTTATCAAGGATAAACCAACTTGTTTTTGCAAAACCTATAATTATTATCATCATTGTTAAATATTTACTTATATTATGCATTTACAAACCATTCAACAAAAACTATAGTTTTCAACATTAATTAACATTAATTGGCATTTTAAAATAATTTTTTTAATGTTTTTATGAATTAATTCATAAATTAATTAATATTTCCTGTGTTTTAATGTTTTCCCTTAATTTGCAATGTTTAAAATTGTTGTACTTGAGTCAATGATTTTATGTATTGTAATGACCCTATGACCCTATGAGAAAATAAGTTGTTTTTTTATATACAGCACAGTATGCTTTGATTATTATTATGAATATTTCTCTTTACAATTTCAGAGTATTAAACATTTAAAAAAAATACCAACAAACCAATACAGTCGATCTAAGTCAGCTGATGATTCTGGGGTGCAGATTCAAACTACAGTCAATCGAAAACCATCAATCGGCCGAATGTTCTCCTCTAGACGGCGGCATACCATCACCACACTTTTCAATCGACCAAAACCCCAGAGCGGCACTTTTGAGGACTCACAAGACGATGACTTATGTTCAAAAGAAGCAAAGGTTCTTGAAGGTAGAAATAAATCTAAATTCTTTAAAACTAACACAATTCAGCTACTTTGGGGCTTCTTAATCAAGTTAGTTATGACAGGTATTTGTTATACATAGTACATATTACCAGTGGCGTAGAAAAGTATTTTTCATTGGGGGGGATGATTGAAAATTCTTGGAATTGACATAAAATTACTGATGTCGTACACACCCTTCAGTGTGAAAATGTGGCTTGCTATTCAAGCACATCTAACATTTAAGGAAAGAAGAGCTTAGATTGGTATCAGATAAAATAATTTTGTTATCAACATTAATACATTATGCTAATTTTCATCTTTGTAAGCGCATAAGTCATTGCAAATTATTTCTGTGACAGTCCATTTTATCCCATACATAGTCAAAATATTGGGGGGATGATACAATGGACCATCTCCCCCCCCCTTGTCAAATATAGGGGGGATATATCCCCATCCCCCCCCCCCAGGATCTACGCCTATACAGTACATATTACACAGTGCTTCTATTCACTTTACACCAAATTATAAAACAAGGTTGTTATAACAACTCCCTGGCTATAAATGTTTGGACATAAATATATGTTGCTCAAGGTAATAATAATAATAATAACAAGAACAATAATAATAATAAAAAGTAAAACTGTCTTTTCAAATCCCCAATGTATTAAATTAGTAAAATTGTATTTAATACAATTTTCTTTAACTGAGCTGCTAAGTTTAGAAATTGTTACTAATTCAATTTATAATTTCTAAGGCCAAAACTTGATAAGCAAAAGCTTTTTTTTTTTTGGTCTTTTTGTCTTTTATTCTATTATGAATGTATACTTTGATTTGCAACAATATAGTGATATATATTAATATTTTATTTCTTTACTAAATACATAGACAATTAGTTGATCATGGGTAACAAATAAATTGTGTATTTTTTAATGATTACATAATGAGTGTAGTTCTTGGTTATATAATTGTTATGCAATAGAATGATGAAGGTGTCACAAGCAGCTAAGTACAGCACATAATTGCATAACTCGGGTCAATTAAGAAAGTTACATAGAAGTTATTATCATAGACATTAATTGTCTTCTCACTTAATAATATTTCTGATATTTTTTACCATTTATCTGTCACTTATCAGGATCTAATGAGGTATATGATGCTTTTTGTTTACTAATAAATGTTTTGTTTTGTATAGTTTGTATTGGTGGATTTCAAATGTGTATATGTGCATGCTTAAAATATACAATAAGCTGTTATTTTGTAATTAAGAAGTTTTCATTCTTATATGTACCTTACATTCTGCATGTAATAACAATTAATGAAATGTTACTTCATGTTGTCATAAGATAAGTTCAATGTCAAAAGCTTTAAGTAATTTAATATTTTTTAGGATACAAACATATCTTGTATTGTTTTCTTTAATCTTGTTTCTTTGTATGCTCTGTAATCAAATTAGTTTTTGTTACATAAAGTAAAGTGATCAGAAACAGGATTTTGAACTCTTTCTTATTTCATTTCATTTCAACAGTTATGTTAGACAGTGAAGATGAGACTGCTGTATGTAATTCTATCATATTGGAGCAGATCATCACATCCAACCTATCAACAAGACTTGAAGAAGATGGTAGTGTTAGTATCGCAATCAGTCAAATACCGTTTTTGTTTAAGACATTGTCTGTATCAACCTTACTCACATGCATTCGTGAAGGAACATTGAACATTCGTAATAATGACTCAAATAGAGGATCTACCTGTAGACTGTTGTATCAATATGAGCCTCTACAAAGACCAATGGATTTACCAATCTCAGAAACAGATGAAGGCTCCATACGTTCTTGGTGGAACAACCTTCTGCAAGACATGTCTGAACAATATCGCAAGAACTCCATTGCTTCCAGTTTGATGCAGTCAATAGATGGCATCAATTCTTCAACTTCATCTGAATCATCTGATGAGATCTCATTTCTTAGTGACTTGTCCAATACTTATATAGAAGATTCTGAGGTAACTAGTAGTGAAGGCATTGAATTCATTCAGGGTTCTGAAGGAAGTTCTGAATGTCATTGTGATTATCTTGCAACTTCACAGAGTTTTGATTCACTGGATAATATTCAAAATCCAAAATGTATTTGGTTATCAAAATCTGAGGATGTATTAAGTACTAATCATAGTACTTGGCAAAACTTAACATTTTCAGACTCTGATTATTATTCTGCCACTAATGGAAGAATGGAAAGTGACCAAGAACCTCCTATCAGTTCAACTGTTGTTCAAGAACTTTCGTATAAGTATAAAATCTTACAAGCCCAGGTGAAAAATACAAACACACATTCAAACCACTCAAGTCAAAATATTGATTTGAAATTAGAGAGAGAATCAGAAATGATGTGTGATATGATGCCAGACTTACTACTAAATGAAAAAGATGGACCTTCACAACAATGTGATGATATTATAAGCTGCATTAGCATACCTTGTAATGATGATGGAGAATTTGATACTTTACACAGCAGGAAGAAAGAGAAGTCAAAAGTCAGAAATGATGTCATGTCTTTGGAATGTGATGATGTCATCAGTGACATTAGTTGTTCTGATTGTGAAAGTGAGAGTGCATCTTCTGATACCAGTGTAAACCTGAACATTTCAGATACATCTATCCCAAGTGTAACATTCAGTGAGGGTGCCATTACAGGAGATCTGAATTTTGAAGGTCATTACAATTTAAGTACACCAAGCTCTACTAATATGAGTAGTCACTCTATTCCAGAGTACATGTTGCAGAGGTTTACAGCTCAAGACTTACCAATTAAAAAACAAAAAAATTTCTGTTACAGAAATCCTTATTTGAATCGCTTACCTAAGAACAGGAGAGGTAGGTCAATGTCCTCTGCTACCTCTGATATTCTATGTAATACAAATCAAACCTGTATAAAGTTACTTACACCACCGCCTGTGAAGCTCAGGCGGTCCTTGTCCGATCGAATCATAACTTCTTCTAAAGTACCATTTTCTAGTTCGGTGTCATCAACACTTTGTGAGGAACTGATGATGACATCTGACCAAAAAACGCAAAAAGAGGTGTTACAACTTTCCAGCAATTTTATAAAACTTAACTCTAACAATAGCAATAACAATGATGGGTGTGACGGAAGTGATGAAAATTCTTCGGATAAAGACGAAAATTGCTTGAGCGATAACATTGATGATTCAGCCCAAACATCAAATTCTGCCATTAGTAGTAATGCAGAGGCAGTGGTTGCATTGTCTGTGAAACCTCATACAGAACAGAACACAAAAGCAGAAATATTTACAGCAATGATGCCAGTAATATCAATTGATGTCACTAAAGATGATCCTCTCTGGCAAAGTAGTGACGACGAGCAGGATACCTCTGACTCAAGCTCGAGTAATTCTTCTGACAACACAATTCTGCACATTACTTTTGAAGAAATTGGTAAAAAGTCGGAAGCTATGGGTTCTCCTGTTGATGCTAACTCAATTGAAATAGGTGAATTGAAAATTAAAGATATATTTGATCCAGAAGAATACAACTATTACAAGAAATGCTTCCTCAATCGGTTACATCAGGCAAAGAAGAAACGAATTCATGATGCTAGGAGAGAAGGAAAGAAAACATCAAGAAATAAGATGAAACGAAAAGAATTAGAAAAATCGAAAATTAAATTAAATAAAGGTAAACAAACAGATGAATGTAACAATGTTCCTGATAGTTTCTTACACTACAGCATGCAATCAGATAGTCAAGGGGATATTAACGATGATAAAAGTCAAAATAAAACTAAGTCGCTTTTTGTTGAAAGTGATAACTGTTTGCTTTTGAGTAAAAGGTCAGATGCAATGCATCAACCTTCTGCAACAATGTCACATAAATTTCCCGAGAGTGAAAAACAGTTAGTAAACAATTATAAAAGGAGTACACAAAAGAAATGTCAAGATGAACATGCACCAGTATGTAGCAGAGCAAGTTCCAAACATGCTCAGAATACTGAAAGACACGAATTAAACTCACAACAAAATAATGACCAAGCTGAAAGTTCTTCATCTTCTAAAAGGGCTGTAGTCAACCATAACCCTGATACAGACTACATTCAGCTACACCAGATGCCAGACTTGTTATCTAATCACAAAGTTGAAGAAGTAAGTCAACCGATATATGAAAACAGTATTGGTAGTAATAGAGCAGGAATTGTTGATGAATCAATAATTCAACCAGAACAAGCACCTTCGGTTCCATTTCAACTCGATCAATTTTTACAACAAACAGAATCTTCACGTTCTGATATTGATTATGGAGATTATGTTACGTTGAGATTTGACAGCAATGGTCACAGACTACCTCTTGCAGAAGTAAACACCTCGGTTAAAGACAAAGAAACTGGGCAAGGATGGTTTGAAATTGAAACCCCAAAACAATCAGAGAACATCTATGAAGAGTTGCATGACACAAAAGGGAGAAAACTTCAAAGAGCTCAGAGCATGATGCTGACAAGGTCTAAGGCTTACAGACCAAGACCGATTGATTTCACCCTTGAAAAGATGTTCATTGATTCTCTTAACCTAGAACCTGGCATGATGCACGACATCAGTTTGGAAGACCCGAGGATCATAAATGTTAATAAAACTCTTCTGAGCTCAACAATGGAATCTAAGCCAATTGTTGCGTCTGATCACCATGAAACCGCCCTAGCCAACAGTGAGTTTGAAACCGATATGAATCTAGAAGATACGAACGTGTTGAATCTCAGGAAAAGAAGTAAACAGATAATTGACTTGATGGCAAATGTTACTTCACCATTAGAGAAAATACCAGTTAAAGAAGAACACTCTCAGTTCCATTTAAGCGATACTCGAGATTTTAGAAACAAATGCCTTGAAGTAGATTTAGGTCACTCGACAACTAATAAAGGAGCCGGGTCTAGATGCCCAATTCTCATCCCAGAAGAAGATTGGAGTCGAAGCGCTGACTATACAAGAGGTACCCAATTATTTAGGAATAAACAGAAGTCAGTTCCAGCCAAAACAGACGCAATGCGTCATCAGAACCCTGTTCAATCAGATGATTTTGATGATGATAAACAATCGGCAGCGAAGCTACGGTTAAGTGATGCATGGCTGCGTAATCATAGTAAAATATTTCACTCTGGTAATTGGCACTTGAGCACTGAACATCAGCACACTATCAATAGTCAGCAGTGCATCAACAAAGAGCAACAACATGTGACTAATGACCGCTATGAGCGGCAACACTTGAATAAATTTCAACAGATGAGAATGCAGCAGCGAGTGAGCAGTGATAACCAACACGAGAGCCATATACACGAATGTGTGAACGATGATAATCTTGCTTTTTCTAAATCCACAAACCACCATACTCCAATTTTAACCCACAGAGAAGACCATCCTGCACTGACATCAGATGGTAGAGGAAACACAAAGACAACGTACATATATGATTATCAAAGACTGAATGAATCAGAGGGAGCCCTGATGGAGTACAAGCCACTGAGAACGAACAAAGACTATGTTGTATTTCCGCAAAACCGCAGATATTTTAGAGGCGCTACGAATAATGATAATCTTTTTCAGCATAATTATGGAAATCATCGGATAATAGATAGAAAATCTGATAACGGGCTTCGTCCAATATTTGATAATTTGAAGGCAAAAGATAAGTTTGTTGATAGCAATAGCAATGTTATGTTTCATTCGTTATCCACAGTGAACTGTCCAGGTAGGAAGATTTTGAATACAACTTCTAAAACAGGGGCTAGACGAGCTGAGGTTGAAAGTTATGTTAATCCAATAATGGTTGATCAGGCAACCAGTCCTGGTATTGCCAGGCACTCCCATAATGCCAAATACACCAAAAGTACACAACCGTCGATGCAGCAAAATGACACACACGGCCCGTTGGATGTCAGTAATGAAAGTTGTCGAAATTCTAATCTTGAGCTTTGTTTAACGTCAACACCGACTAGATCGACATCCGGAAGAGTAATGTCTGAAAATAGACAGTGGGATATAAGTGGCATAAGACCTAATTGCGGGAAAGCAAATGGCTCTGACGATGCGTTATTTTCCTTTTTGTCTCAGATGCAAACTTATAATAACTTGCATGTGAAGTATAGAGAAAGCACGTCACCAATATATGAAAATATGAATTCTTTAAATCAGCGATCAAAGCAAGATAACTATTCCGATTCAACGGTAATTGAACAGGTTAAATTTTCAGGGGATGAAAGTCAATCTAGAATAGCTTCTACATCACTGACAGTTGGTTGTGACCAATCAATATCACCATCCACCATCCTTACTCAGGACGTTCCTCCAGAAAAACGTGGTATTAAGCGATGGTTTACAAATGACAATGTGGCTGTACATAAAATGATACTTAGAAGAAACGATGAGTCAGAAACCAGTTTGAATGTTTCGACACCAAAACCACCTCCTGACTATGACGAGCATATTAATAACACTCGATCTTTACCCGGTGGAATGAAACTGGCGTCTTCGGTAGAATTTCTACCAAACTATGAAGACCACCTTCATAAACATGGAATGGAAAAACATTATTCGTCAACACCGAGCCTATTCGAAGATGACGATTCGGTATTCCTCGATGATTCTGAATATGATGAAGAAACGCCACCACGGCCACGTTTTTTACGAAATACTAGCCAACCAGAGAAAGCACGATCGAGCATAATTCGCAATCGTTCAAGCTCAGTGTCTGGAATTAAACGCACAAAATCAGTTCGTTTTGAAGTCCCAGGAGGGGCAAATACTCAGTCACCTCCATCAATGAACTCCGATGATCAAATTCCGAGTAGTAATGGAGAATCATTCAGTATAATTGAAAGATTAGTTGGAAAACAGTCATATAAAGAAATTCTAGAGAAATGGGCCCAAAAAAATTTGTTAAATGAAGAAGAACGCAACTGCTCTATTCCAGACGAAGAAACAATTTCTAAAGAAGGCCTTATAAATCAGTCCAAAGCAGATTTGACTGAGGATGTTGTTGGACAATTCTGTCAGCGTGCCAGTCTGCTGCAGCCGGCTATCTATGCTTTACCAAACATAACATACAATGAGTACACTGAAATGGCAGATGGTGTCCAGATTAAAGAGTACGGTGACGTTGGTACGATAGAGATGACACCAAAGACACACTCTGAAATTTCAATATCTGCACAACCTGCATCATTGCAAGTCGATACAGGTCTGCATGCCCAAACACGTGCTAAACATTGTAACGAAATCGATAAACTTCAATCCTGGGGTAGTATACCACCATTATCAAGATACCAAATGAATTACAGAGGCATGGAGACTTCAGATTTCTGGACGCCAATCGGAAGTGATGAAAACACCCGTCACCATAGCTCTTCATCAAGTAACATGAGTATCCCTTCCTCAACGACAGACATCACATACTTGACAGAATTTGATAGAAATGATACCAGGAGAGGAGTTATCCGAAGAGACGTGATACCAATCTACAATACTGTGAATTCGCAAAGAGGTATTAAACGAAGCTCACCAGTAATGGTAGAACCACCTTTTGACGTTGTAAGCCCAGATAATATGTTCAAATGGGCTAATTATTCACCAAGAAGTGATGACGATCCGCTACAGATGTCACCTGAATTTAGGCAGACAGCGCGTCCGTACTCAGCAGGAAACTTTAACACTAAGTTCACAGTTGCAAAAAGACGGGCAAGACCAATACGACAACAAGCCAAAGATAATGGACGTCAAGTCAACACTACTGATACATTCAAAGCAAGGGAAAGTGACGATCAAAACAAACTAGATGATGATAAACGCCACACAAGAGGTGGTAATGTGTTATTCAAATACAAAGGAAGTTTACAAATTAGAAACCTAAAGAATGGACTAAAAAACGTTTTTAAAAAGAAAGGAAGTAAGCATAGTGACGATAGTTCTGAACATGGATCCGAAAGCTCTGATAAAAATCATTCTTTAAGCACGAACAATCAAGAGTTGAATTTAACGTTGAAGGACCACATTGTGGTAGGAGAGAGTGAACACCGCAATGACACACCCCACTTTTCACGTTATGGTTCCAAGAGTGGAAACGAGCGCGCTTCATTGTTTTCGTTAAAATCTGATCCAGAGCCTCTCCAAAATAGACATAGGTCGCTCAGCATGCCATTCGTATCCTCCCTGGAAATGTTGGACGTACCAAGCTCACAAAAACAAACACCACACGTATATTTTTCTCTTAATGTATAATCAATTAATATCGTAATTCATGTATGCCATTGTTCTTCAACAATTTTATGATATGAAATCACTTTTATGTATGGTGGTATGTCAGTACTTATAGTGTATTTTAACAATCATCTGTAATAGAATAAAATACACTGAGAATTACTGAAGGTAGCTTGACAATAAGTCTTGCGTACTTGAAAGTGGGTTGTGTCCCCGACCCACCATAGCTTTCTGGGTGTTTGTCTTTCATGGCTCTTTTGAGGTCTTCTGCCTCAGTTTTCACATTGCAATAATTTCCGAACAGTACAAATTACCTGGATACAGTTGATATTTATGCCTGAAAATGTAGTACACATAAGTTATTGTAATATCAAATATGTGTTAATTGGAACATTTAATACTTAATTTCTCAAATGGTATTGTACATTTAATGTTAGTGTGAAATAAAATTATGTTAACGGTGTATTATAAATAGCAATAAATAACTTTGAATCACTATGTGCAATAGTTGGTGTTCATTATTGATTTTAAAATACATTTTTTGATAAGCCATGAACTTGGTTAACAAATAATAATTACTACTATTACTACTACTATAAGTATTATTATTATTATCATTATTGTTATTATTATTGTTAACATGATCACTCAAAGTAATTATTATTATCAAGATAATTATTATTATTATCATTATTATTATTATTATTATTATTATTATTATTATTATTATTAACATGATCACTCAGAGTAATTATTATTATCAAGATCATTTTTGATTAGTAATGTATAGTGTATATTTATATTTCATTACTTTGTTAGGAATAGATTGTAAGTTGAAGTAGGTATTGTATGATGATTGTTTGAATGCCAAATGCATTGAGGTTTATCTATTGCAATGCGCAATTTGATTTGATTTGATTTGATTTATTCGATATCAACAGAACAACATCACAGAATTGGAACAACGATAAACAGAGAAACAAAAAAGGCTTACTTAGAGAAAAATGTTTCATTGTGTGAGAAAATTCAAAGGTCTATACAAACGATAACATTTTAAAACAGTGTGGCTTGCTTCAGACTGGCCTAATAGTTGTAATCACATTCGTGAAAATACGGTTCTCTTAAAAAGTATTGCGAAAATCGTAAAAATATATTCAATAGTTTTGCCTAATTTTTACGGCCATATTTGAAGAATATTTGTATATATTGACGTTCAATATGAAATGTGATTTCATATTATTGTTGGAACAGTGACTATTGTTGTATAGCTGTACAAACAATTCGTCATAGGCTTATGATGTTTATCTTTTAAAGAATATAATGCCCTCTAGAATTCCACCATATTCACACACTTCCATATTTGTTGAGCTTATTTGTTTCAAAATACAATTAGATATTGATGTATAAGTATAGTATTTGATTATAATGGTAGGCATACGAAATGAATGAAATTTGTTATACGTTTTGGTCTTTGGATTGTATCAGTTTTTAGTTTTTAAGTCCATAATCTATCCATACCAGGGAACAGTGTAATTTCACTAATCCATACAGCCAAATGATCAAAATATATTGAGTTTTCTGCTTAACGACAAGGAACAAATAATTAACCAGGTCTTAGTTAAGATATGTATCATTTATTACTTTTGTATACAATTTGTGAATAGTAAAATTTGCAAATGTTGAATAAATATTACACACCTACAGGATAATAAAAAGAAGTGTACTTCGCATTCTTACATACCGTAATCGCGTGAATAGGTACATACAAATTGTTTAAGCGCCGTTTACATAAACGCCTTCAATTTTGAATAAGCGCCCTCACATTATAATGATTTTACTTTTATCAAGCCAATAATCCAATCAATCCTGTAACACTGCCATGATTTGAGCTGCATTTTTTCTTATTATGGCAATTTTAAAATGAGGATATTACTCCTGAAAAGATCAGCGCTCCCTGGATAGTATCTTTTCCAACTTTCTTCTTATAGTAGTCTTCTTCACTCTTTTTCCCCCGACAATTTGCACATATATATTAGCACGACTCTGGCATGGCATGAATTTGCAAGAAACCCTGCAATGATCTGAATCAATTGGCAGATGGCAAACAAGCTTACCACTTCCAATTTCATCTGCCGTTGTTCAAAATGCTCACAGCATTCTCGTCATGAGTCATGATCTCTAGACAATTTTTTTTTCTGCACCAGAACCATTCGTTTATCTTCATTTCCAGATGTCCTTATAATCTTTTTTCATTCAAAAAGGGTTCCTTGAATTTTCCAAATTTCGACGAGCCCTTCAATTTTCATTTATTTCCATAAGCACCCCCTCCCCAATTTAAACTGTTTTGAATAAGCGCCACCCGAAAAGTGCCAAAAAAATATTTAAACGCCCGAGTACTTATTCGTGCGAGTACGGTAGCTTATGGCGTTCGGATTGTCAATAGTTACGTATATGGGAGATGGACGCTTAAAATTTCTGCTACATAAAAGCAGGTTGAAGTTTGTTCTCTAAAAACCGGTTGATGTGAGAGAAAGGTGGCCAATTTCAATGTGCTACACATTCATGTACACCCGTATCTGTTCTCCAAAACAATATACTGTTTTCCAGTTCTATGTTTTTATAAGCGGATCAACAAGCTTAATAATAATAATATAGAAGACGTCAGATAAAACGTAACAAGGGAACGTGAAATAGAAGCTCTTGAGATGCTTTTGCGACAACGCACGTTCTTACTAATTGCCTCCCATGTTATTAAAAAAATACCACATTACCATTAATCAAAATTAACAAAAAATGTGCGTATTTTGTAGGTTTGCAAACCTAGTGAAATTACCTTTAATGAACTTGACAAACAAAAAATCTTTTTTGTTTTTTCTTGCTGTATTTTGTATAAACTTAATTAGGTTTCTTTGTAGGCCTACTTGAAATTTTATAACTTGGTAGAACATAAAACGCAAAGTTACAAAGTTTAAAACATGTTTTGATATAATTGGAAAAAAATATGTACTTAATTTATACTAGGACTACAAGGTTATATGCACACAATGAATGTAAAGTCAGATTTGATACACAGATTTTTGAAAACAGGAAATTCTATAGGCCTAATAATCTAGATGAAATAGGCAGCTCTAACAACAGGCTCATCACGTTAGGGCGAAAGTTTTTTTTAGCAAACCCGCCGCCCGGAAATATCGATGATTTCGAATAAAAATAACATTTTATTTTTTGGCCAATTAGTGCTCCCGCCGCCACTAAAAAAAACCCAGTTTTTCTTTATTTTTATTTACACCTCCGCAGTCTTGTAGTCAACGATAAGATAATTCTTGAAGCATTTAATCCCAGCTACTTAGGCCTACACTGTAAATTTTGCTTTTATTTTCTCCTCCGTCTGGATTTTGGCAAAACTATTTGCTAAATAAAAATATTTTTTCCCGCCCTCTGATGAACTTAAAAAAGAAAGAAAATAGGAATAAAAAGTCTCGCCTACGGAATTGACAATCACACACGCAAGTCGGTTCCTACCCAAACCCAGAATGGGTCTCTGTCAGGTCAGGGGTGGCGCCAGGATCTGCCCTAGGGGGTGGGGGTCCGATATCTTAGAAAGGCCGATGAGAATACTAATATAATTTGGGGTTTCAAAGGCTTATTTAATCGATTTTGAGTCTACTAATAATTATGTAAAAATTACATGGGTGGTGGAAACTAAAACAGCGAACACGACTATCGTCGTTTCTAGAGGGCGCGTTCATTGAAACTGTCTCCGAAAGCAAAATGGCAGCGCCCATGGAGGGAATAGATGTTGAGAAATCGGATGATCTATATGCGATACTCAACGCAAGAAAAGATGTATGTACCAGATTGTATGTTTTGGGCAAAACCTTTGTTCTGAAATTTCTATATGGCCTCGTACTACCGTTAATTAACGGCATACATTAATTTTTAGGTAGGCGGTCTAGAGAAAATGATCGAACACCCTTCTACTACTAGGGCCTAGGCTTAGGCCCGCCGCTAGACTAGACCCAGGCAAGGCCTAGGCTGCCTAAAAAGTAGGCCCTAGGCCTAGACAGTATTTTTCGCGTTACTATGCACCATTTATTCCATGTTATTCACTTTCCTTAACATATTCAAATTCACATAAAGTAATAACATCTTAATGAAATGTTGTGTTTACTACTAGGGCCTAGCTAGGCCTACTACTACTAGTTAGTAGTAGTACAGTGGTGTAGAATTAGTTAGAATAAATACCATGAAAAGGGTCATGAAGGGACCATTTGTAAACTGTACAAGGGTATCTCATGCACATTTTAATCTATATGCACATTTTGATACTAATTACTGGCGGTCTGAATTTTTTTTTTTAGCATATGTATTTTTCATAAAAATACAGTACATTGTAGGCCAGTATTAATAGCATAATAATATGATTTTCTAAAGTAGTACCTAGTTTACTTATTCTTTTAAATGTCAACTTATCAACGGACAATTAATAGACCTACAGTATTCAATAATGTAAGTAATAATATTTGTATAGTGTTACTCTTATTGGAAAAAAAAATTATATTGAACTTGTTATGTGTAGGCCTATGTACATGCACAGAAATTAAAATGACAAGAAGTTGTCATTAGATAAAAAGAAAAACCACGTTCACTGGAATCTTATCTTGTAAATTGAAAAGTGTTATAAAATAAGTCATTTGCCTGCATACTTGTCTTGCGAGGTTTATTTCGTTAGTTGCCAAATAAAAGCCTGAAAGATGGGTTTCAATGTACAGTAGGCCTACTTCTTAGGTCTGTATTTTTTTATTTTTTTTTTTTTTAGCGTATTTTTCATATAAATACATTTTTAGGCCAGTTTTAATAGCATAATAATGTGACTTTCTAAAGTAGGGCCTACGTATTCTTGTAAATGTCAACTTTATCAATGGACAATTAATAGGGTATTTAATAATGTAAGTAATAATATTTGTATAATAATACTCTTGTTGGAAAAATTATATTTACACTGGTTTTGTGTATGTACATGTACATAGAAATGCGAATGAGAAGTTGTCATTGGATGATGATTTTTATTTCATGAAAAGAAAAACCACGTTCAGGAATCTTATCTTGTAAATTGAAAAGTGTTGTTTGCGAGGTTTACTTCGTTAGTTTGCCAAATAAAAGCCTGAAAGATGGGTTTCATTGTACAGTACTCCTTAGGTAACATGCCTAGACTGACTTTATCAAATGATTTCTTGCAGTGAGTGACCTAGGCCTAATACAGTAGTTATGCACCCTTAAAATCACCTTCCAAGTTTAGAATTTTTTTTTTTTTTTTTTTTTTTTGACTCCATAGATTTACAACACTTGCTGCTTTTTTTTTTTTTTTATCATATTAACTTAAACCTAGTCCTATGTACACAATTCATGCCTTCTTTTTTTTTTTTTTTTTTTATCATATTAACTTAAACCTAGTCCTATGTACACAATTCATGCCTTTATGGTGTGCTAGAGCCTTGAAGTTTAGAATAACATTTTTTGAAGACAGAAAACCAATATTGCCCATATAGGGCACTACCTTTCAGCATCGTTATATTTTGACAATAAAGATTCAATTTGATTTATCACACCATTCATTTTAGGCAGAGTAGTTTCAATTCCTGCCTCGTTTTTATTTCTCTAAACCAATCACATGGCATTCATTAGATAATCAGCTTTACCTACAGTAGGCCTACTAATCTGGTCACTAAAACACTAGCTTGAATATGCAATGGCCAGGTCAAATGCCAGGAAAGGCACAGTCGGTTTGACACAATTTCCATGACTAACTATAAATTTGACTTCTTCATTTTACTGCACATTGCTGACAGGCCTCTGAAGATGAACTCAAGTCCTCGTACAGGCGTCTGTGTATGCTTTACCATCCTGACAAACATGTTGAAACTGCTGACAAAGAAGCAGCAGAAATGGTATTCAATAAAGTGCAGAGAGCATATGCAAGTAAGTTTTCCTTTAATAATTGACCATTATAATTGATCCATTTTGGTAATATTTTATCTAATATGTTATTTAAGCTAAATTTCTAATTGACAATCTTAACACCCAGTAACATGTTTTTTGGGTTTTTTAAAAATATTTTTTGTGCTTGAAAGATTATTTTTAGATGCTTTATTTTTTTTAATTTATTATTAAAAAACTTGAAATACAATAAGTTAATTGGATGGTTTGCTTTGATGTGAAATGCAAAAATGATAACCCAAGAAGACTTATCTCTATTGACGATAACCGGGGACTAGCAGATGAAAAACCGTTGCTCATACCACTTGGATAAAAAACTGCCTTAACATTTTAAACAAGCTCTCGTAATCTCAGAATCTCCGATGAGGGCAGTACAATAGAGGCAGTAGAGTATATGGGCCCTAACGGCTGCCCATACAAAAAGATCAATTAGCAAAAAAGATCAATCAATCAGCCAGGTATTCCTAGAGCTCCTCATTGGAGCTAACAAAAAATCTATTAATCAGTCAGTCGAGTGTTTCTAGAGATTCTCATTGCAGCTAATAATAATAAAAATAAATGTTCCGAATGGTCGCCCATACAAAAACGATATATTAATCAATCAGCCGACTGTTTCTAGACCTTCTCATCAGAGCTAATAGTAATAAAAATAATTGGCCCTAACAGCCGCCTATACAAAAATGATCTATTACGCAAGCAGCACAAAAAGGATGTATTAATCAAGCAGCCGGGTATTCCTAGAGCTCCTCCCCTTACAAAAAAGTCTTGTAGGATCCTATAGGCTGCCTATTAAAACCTATACACTGCCCATAGGATCCTATAAGATCAGGGTCATCAGAGCTAAACACCTGATTTATCCTCTGTACCTACAATGGAGCAGCAATAGTACGGTGGTAGATTAGATTCTAGATGTTACTTCCTCTGATGGAATATATTGTTAATACTGTGTCTGAGAAAATTAGGCTGATAATACTCCTTTTACTTGTTTACTTGTAGTCCCTAAAAATTCTTCTTTAGAAGAGCTATCTTGACCCTCTGAGTAATCATGTCCTAATTGTTCAAAAGGCAAATACTTCAGTGGGCGGTCAGTCTGCTTTCTCATGCTTGCTATTTCATTAGCAGATACATGATCCGCAAGACCATTGCATGAAAGCATCATCCTGGTAGCCCTCAGTTGAACCTTCTATTGGAGATGCTGATCTTGTTTATTTACTGGATTTTATAACCTTACTACAATATTCCAACATGGGCGAATCATACCTTTATACTGTTTAAGGAATATTTGAAGCATGCAAGACTCGCTGTAAATTCTTTTTATCTTGTTTTTGCAGTCTTACATGATCCACAGAAAAGAGCAATCTATGACATCTATGGCGAGAAGGGTCTTGAAGCAGAATGGGATGTCGTTCCAAGAACAAGAACGCCGCAGGAAATTATGGAAGAGTTTGAACGATTACAGCGTCAAAGGGAGGAAAGACGTTTACAGCAAAGTACAAATCCCAGGGTTGGTACAAATTTATATTCAGTTCTTACTGATGATGTTTACAGATAGTCACCAGAAAAAAAGGATAGTTTCAACAGATTTGATATTGTCTTATATTTTGTGATTGTGATACTGTAAATCAGAGGGGATAGAGAGGTGGGCATAAAAGTGTGTTGGAGGGCCAACTGAATTTTTTGAAGGCTGCAAGCCAACTTTTGTTGAAAATTTCAATATTGCATTGTGCTTGCAAAAACAGTCATTCACTGCTATTTATAATGCTTTATGCTCAGTTGTAATGTTACTGTTTGCAGATGTTTGGGGTTGGCTGTAATAACAAGGGGTTTTCCAACCAAAGATTGTATGCGGGCCACACAAATAAGATTCATAATTTAGCTTTGCATCCTACAACAAGGTTACTGTCGGGCCACACTTTACCCCCACCCCCAGGGTGGGGGTAAAGTGTGTAAGTGCGGTGAGTCGAATGGCCGAGCGGTTAGCAAGGCCGCTGCAAGCTATAGCCATAATATCGGCGCTGGTTCGAACGGCACGGTTCTGGTGGAAGAACAAGTCTTCTCGGATAAGGACTATAAACCGTAGGCCGAGTGTATACAATGGCTCGTGTGCACTATAAAGAACCCTGTACATCCTTCGAGACGAGTAGGGGGATACCTCGGTGTACTGGAACAGACAGCCCCTGTGGTGGACGACGAGAGTTGCTGGTACCGGGTTACCGGGTAGCACAGACACGAAGGGACCCTTAGGGGCGAAGAAAGTCATTGATCGAGTTCCTAGTCCAAATTTCAAGCGCCTTGAGTATCTTACATTAGATGGATTTGTGCGCTATATAAAACTACTCTTTTATTATTATTATTAAAGTAAAATGTGTAAAGTAAATTAATAATCCTTCATCTGATCAAACATATCCTCATATTGCAAGTAAAACAAATCTTAATTGTGTTCACTTCATCAAAGTCTGCTCAAACCCTTTTGGGTGACAGATCCTAACATAACGATGGTGCTCTATGGTAATCATGTTTTAAAATTTTTGTCTTAGGGTATAATAAGTGTAGGGGTTGATGCAACTGATGTATTCGATTATTACCAGGATCCTACTGAAGAAGTAAGGTATGCATCAACTTTATATTCAATGATGTATTCAATGATATAAAAATAGATGATGATGAAAATGACAAGGAGGATAATAATGTGGATAAATTCCTGGACCTGATGCATTTTAGCATCTACTGTAACTAGTGAAATCACAATCATTTTGAGGGGTAGGGGTAGTTTTATGAACACCTACTGGTAAAATAATTGATGCGATAAATAAAAATGCAAACTTAATTGAGTACAAATGTACTGTGTACAAGGTTTGAAAAAGTATTTAAAATTTGGTAGGCATCATAAAATATTATGTTTGTAAAGTAATTTGTTAACATTGATAATCTGAAAATGGGTGTACTTATTGTCTGTGTTTTAAAGATTATATCTGAACTATATAATTTATACTTATTTTGATGTTTAGGTCATTCCCAAATATTGAGATCAACAGTATGGCAATCAACCAATCCATAGATTGTCCACTGACTACTTCTGATACTGTAACTCTCACAGGAAGCCTATCTACACGTAATGGAAATGGATCAGGAGAGATATCAACATCATTCCGTAGACTTACATCATATCAATCTTGGGGGGAAGTAAGTGCAAGTCGGAAATTTGATTGGATTATTTTAATATTATTATTAGCATTCCCTGTCGTCTCTTATTTCGTAAGAGGCATTGTAGCAGTTGGTCCTGTGTGTAGTATCTAAAATTGTTTAAACCAGCCTTTGAATCCCAAAAATTGTCAGAGTTTTCTGGGGGATACGCCACCTGGATCACTCAACATCCCACTCTCCCTTCAGGGACATCGTACCCCCTGTCGGGCAAATCTTGGTACCACTCCTGAAGAACCACCAGTGTAGTTGAGGTTTTTAGCCTACTGTTGAGGTCATTTTAAACCCTACATTGTTGCTGAAAAATGCTTTTGAGGTTTTTGTTTTATATTAATTTAGAAGTGCTATTTATAGAAGTAGATCTTGGTATTTTGTGCATTATGAATTTATAACCTTTAACCTTTGTATTTAGATTCAGATAACTGGAGGTAATGGTCCCCAAATTGGTCTAAAAGGCTTCAGAAATTTTAGTCGCAGAAGGTAAGTTAGATTTTTTCGGTCAACATTTTATGTGGGTCAGTATTAATCATTTAATTATCAATAGCAGATAAAATCTGGTACATAATCGGCCAGTACACCAGCTATTCTAAATGAATAAATAATTCCTAATGGTATTTAAAATGTACATAAAAAAAGCAGTTTATGCTTTAGTCAGAATAATCTAGAGTGAAATATAAAGGTAGGTATGTAAAGGGAAAAACAACTACACTGTTTTCTGTATTATTCTTAACTAAACATGAGGTATAGTATTGATGCTTTTTGATGATTGGGATTCCATTTAATATCAGTCAGCATTTACTAGTTTACAGGGCCTTTAAGGGTCTTCATTTCCTCTGGTCCTTTTTTTGTTTTGGTTAAGGTTTTTTTTTCTAATTTTTTTGTTTGTTTTGTAAAATACTTTATCTAATGTTATAAATATCAACCAGCTATGTAAAAGACTAGTCAGTAATTGCTATTTATTTTATTTTTATTTTATAACATTCTGGACATACATACAAGTACAGACAATAACAATATAAGTAATAATTGAAGTATGCCTATACTGGTAATAAGAAAACATACAATAATAATAAGAGCTACCACAGCCCAGGACAAAAAGCAAGAGCTAATAGTGAATTGTTTGTGTTTGAATGAGTTTAACAATTGTTTTTAAATACTTTTTTTTCTAAAGTTTTGGAACAATGTCTGGAATTTGTCAACTAACACCTCATGGATTTTTGGCTCCAGCTTTAATCACAGGTAATTTTCCAAATTATATGCTTTTATCCAATCATCAGATAATATGATACAACTTACTTTGGTTGTAGGTTAATCATGGGAAAATCCTAAGGAAGGAGTTAATGAGGTGAATGTAATATTTAAGTTTCCAGTTTTTGCTCCTGGGTTAGGAGATAAAATCTTTTCTGGGGCTTTACTCAGCTATGCCAGTCCATTTTCAATGAACCTCACACCCCCCCCCCCCTAGCCATGGTAAATCTACAGTCAGGACTAAAGAAGGCATTGACAGTCTTGTCATTATTACATGACCAACAGGTAGAAGTACACAATATGAACCTTTGGTTTAACGATTAATGATGGTCACCTGTTAATCCCAATGCCTTGGTTGAATCTTGTCCAGGGGTGAATTGTTATAAAACGGTCTTAACTGGTAGTCTTCTCGAATTAAGCCAGCTTTATCACTTAGACGGTCTTACTAAAGTCACTCTGAAAGATCATTGCTATAAAACGGTCTTCGCTTAGACCGTTTCGAGTATTGAAACGCAAACAAGTACTCAGTGGTAACATAAAATTGAGGGCGCTGTTGTTATTGCTCATAACATGCATGTTTATCAAAATGAAAGTAAATGAACGTAGACCGATTTTTACAGAGGCTGAGAAGCTTGTGGAATATTCGTCGTTCGATTCTTAGTCCTTGACGATCTAGGCCTAGGTCTAGTACCTATAACGCCATAATGAAAATGATTTAAGACCGTTTTAAGCCTCCTCCAAATAGGCTTTAAAATTTAAAACTGATTAGACCGTGGACCACTTATAGCAATCCGCCCCAGAATTTCATCACAATAACGTAATTCATTTTTGTTTAGTCGTAGCTCGGCAATTGGATAAGCATACCATTGGATATTTGACCTGGAAATGGGGCATGCAATCTGCCATGACTTCCATGTTGATACGAGATACAACAAACACACGACTTGTCTGCCAGCTTCAGGTGAATATATGAATATTTATGTTGTATGTCACAACAGCAGACCAAGTTTTGCGCATCTCGTGGGAGTCTCACACATTTAACTTCAACCTCACTCCTTCGCGCGAGGCCCATATATTTTCTCACGCATTCCAGAATTTCTGCAAATTATATTTTTTTAATTTGACATTTTCTCAAAACAAGCATACAACCTGTACAAACATGACTATCGGCACTAGCGATCCCGTAGCGATCATCACAGTGTTCAATGTCTCCTCAGCAGAAACGGAAAAATACTAAATTGATATAAAATTGGCACTTTCTATCAATGTATTCACTGTAAAGGTATATGTTATATCGACGTTTGACTGTATTTGCCTTAAGATGTGTGACCTCGTGCATAGTTTTCAAAAAATGCCCAATCCCAAACAAATCCAAGAAAAATTCTCAAGCAAGCCAGTGTGAGACCCTTGACAGTTTGCAACAGATTGCAGAGCCTGATAGCTGATGCACTGATGGAAAAATGTATCAGCTTAGGGATATTTTAATTTTTCTACCAATTCTATTGACTAATGTTCAAAATTTAAATTTAATCAACTAAATTCTACATTATGCTTTTTTTATGATATAAATTTATATCACTACCAAATATTATTTAATGATAATGATAGTTTGAATGATGCTTCTAACGCTTCATGTGTTGGAATAGTTCAGTGACTTTCCTCATTCCTAAGGGTTACATCATTTTGATAAAATGATATAATAATTTGTATATATTTCTTGCAGCTTGGTATACCAAACTCTTTTGCAAGTGTAAACATGGTCAAGAAATTTGAACATAATGATGCAAAGTTAAATGTTGCTGTCAAGTAAGTCATTTAAACAATGTAATAAGTTATGGTACCCTCAAGTCACGGGGTTCCTTTATGTGGAGCATGGAGGACTAGATGCTTGAAACCGTTCTTTTAAACCATGAGCCTGACCCAAAAGTCGTGTACCCAAAATAAACTAGGGGGTTGTGAGATTCTTTATGACATTTTAATAATTGAATATGTATCATGTTAAAAACATTAACAACAAGTGTGTTGTGGTAAATTGCCTGGTACTGGTACTGGTACTGGTGCAGGCATTTATAATGCGCCTCTTCCTTGCAATTATAAAGCGCAGATCTTTTCCCTGGTCATTGGGTCCTCATGCTCAAGGACACAAGCGAAGGGATTGAAACCCCGACCTCGAGTTTGGGAAACCAAACCGTTCCCGCTGCGCCAAACCGCCTAGAAGTTTGAGTACCGCTGCTGTAATTTGTTTTGATTGCGTTATTTATTTAGCACGTACACCAAAGATCTTATAAACACAAGATAGCGTTCTCCGCGATTTATGCACGCAAATTCTGTAATAAGGCATGAAAAGCGCCCTCTTGCTAAATTGAAAACTTTTGACCCTTGACCGCTCTGACCATAGTGTACGCCGCGCGACTTTAAAGTTACGCGTAACAAGTAGAAGCGTCCGATTTACAATGCGCCCTCTCTTCAGAACATAAGGAACAAATTAACGTACTTGGTAACAAACTTATGGCGTAACGCAAACACCCTATTTCAGATCTATGGCAACGACTAGGATGCCCTCTCCCAAAACTGATTACTTTTCTGTGCCAAATCAACGCTTCTATTTGTTACGCGTAAATCGCAGAGAACGCTATTTTGTGTTTATAAGATCTTTGACGTATACCCATTTCAGAAAAACTACTCAAGGCGCTTTTGTCTTAGGTCAGTCATACAAAATAGGCAGCGCCCTCTAGTTATGCATGTAACTCAGCACTTCCAGTTTCATTCCTAATCATTCACCGCAAAGATACCCATTTACACACCTGTGTGAAAAGAGGCTAATGTAGATGTTTTCACCAGTGGACACAAGCAGTGTCAAAAGCATGAGTATCAAACTCAAACCTAACAGACTTTTATTATTTGTTTTTCCTAATTAAAAAGATCTTGTGTTATTTCAGACACCAAAGATCAATACCTTTCTATTTTTGTCTTTTATGTTTTTGACACTTGTTTTAACCTTTGTTTTGCCTGTTTATTTTTATGTTTAATGCTATAATAATTATAATCCAATTATTGATCCAATTATTCTTATGTAACAGGGCTGGTTCTTTTGGTGCTATGCTCGAATATGGTGTAGAAAAAAAGATATCACAGCACAGCCGACTAGGAGCAAAAGTCACCATAGGTGTACCAGTTGGTGTTACATTAAAAATAAGGTAATTCTTTAAAAATCATTTATATAATATAAAAAGACATTTCTCTATTTAAAAACAATAATGTCACTGTTATATATTGCAGACTGCATAAAAAACATCATTGCACTTTAAAACAACAAAAGGTGCAGTAAATAATTTGTGCTTAAACCAACCAAATTATAAAACTGTTCTGTTCTGGATGTGCTATACTGGTATTAGGTATCAAGAACAGAGCTCCACCCACCGAGGTGGAAACAACATCGCTGTTAGGCGTTGTTGTTTCCTAATTAAAAATTTCAGTTGATCTTTGTGTTATTTCAGACACCAAAAATCAATACCTTTTTATTTTTGTGTTTCATGTTTTTTTAACCTTTGTTTTGCCTCTCTATTTTTATTTTTAATGTTATAATAATTTCAGTCCGATTATTGAGCCTGCGTGCAAAACCCAACCCAGACTACGTAGTCGAGGCACCCAACGCGAATTGTTGTTGTGTTGGGTCTGTATGAGTTAACACTGATGCGATAGGTCTATGTTGTGTCATGGAAAAAAAACAAGACGACCTAAATACTGTGCCTGACGATAAATCGCATTGGGTTGCATTGTACGATGCTGTCTAAGTTGGGCTTGAGGAACAGGTAGGGCCCAGTGTTGGACAACGTTGGAACAATGGTACATCTACCTGTTTTTTTTTTTAACTGAGTGGGTAGTTATAGTGCTGTCTTAAATGGAATTTAGATCGCATACAATCGAATCTGCACTCTTTTTTTCAGATTAAGTCGAGCAAATCAAACATTTGTTTTTCCGATCCATTTATCTCAAGAGATGGCGCCAAATGCAATCTTCTATGGGACTGTTGTACCAATTGCTGTCTATTGGCTTGTCAAAGTTATTATTGTTAATCCATTTATGATTAAAATGAAAGAAGAGTAAGTAATGCATTTTACTCAATAGTCGACAGTAGTATGAAACATTCACTGTCATTGGTCAGTTATAAAATCCGATATGTTATGAGTAAGCAGCTTAGGTCAATCAGCAAACTTTTAGTAGCCACTGTGTGATCGTTATTTTGGTACCCAATTAACCTCCACCAACTGCTCTCCTTGTGTTTCAGCTGAACACATGTATAAAATTGTAGGGATTGTCTCCCAGTGCATATTACTGCCGAATCACCATCACAAGAATCCCATGGGAAAGGAGTTCTCAGAGTTCTGTACATTATGCTTGGTGTTTACACCGTATAAATCCAATCCAATTGTTACATACCTGGTGTACACAGTTCAGGTCCATTGCTTCTCTTGTGTTCAGGGAGGGTGAGGTTTGAAGTGCACTCTCTCTTGGACAAAATGTGTAAGCCATTCGTTCCTTGTGATATATGGCCCATGTCCATGTTAAACAATGGAATATTCTCTTTCAAAAAGAGCAGACGATTGCCTCCCAGTGTACTGCCCAATTCAGCACCCACCAGAAGAACATTGTCGTACTATTTGTTGTAGTTTAATTTTACTATATGTTGTTGAATTACAGGAATATACAAAAAAAGCGGGAGGCAAATGCGAGCAGTTTTGAACAAAAGAAACAAGAAGCAGAAACTGAGGTAAAGTTGATTAATTTAGCAATTTGTGTATCAATCATTGATTTGATCATTTTTTAAGCATGATATAGCAAAAACCTAATAGAGTATTCTACTTATTTTTATAGTATATGTTATGATCTGGAAAAATTTAAATGAAACCTCCAAAATTTGACACTGATCAAAATTCAATTTTTGATAGTTTTACAGACTGTCACTACAAATATATTTTAATTGACTGCCTAGCTAAAGAATATAGAAACTATGTTATTAATGACAAGAAGAAAACTTTCTTGTTCTCATTGTCGATCGAATGTTAATGAGTTTCAATGTAAGTATTTATTAACTTTGTGGTTGATACACCATTATAATACCTCCGTGTATGTATTTGTGAATTTCCATAAAGTATATTTTTAATATTTTATTAGGTTCGATTGATGACTGAAATTGTAAAGAGAATTATTGAAACTGAGCAAACAGTTGGAGGGCTGATTATCATCCAAGCTTGGTACGGAAAGCTTGTGGATAATTCAATGACTGCCGGAGGCGAGCGTAATGGTGTCGGCGGCAATGTCATTGATGTTACGATTCCTTTGCAGAGCCAAGTCAAAGATTCGAGGCTCTTACTCACTGATGCTTCAAAGGTTTGTAAACATTTGCAAATAAGACAGACACACAACTGTTAAAAATCAGTCAAACATTAATCTACAAAAAGAAACAATGTTTATTTGAAATGAAAGTTCATCTGCTTGGGCAGATGCAGGGGGTGGTGGGTGCAGATGGTGTGATTGCACCCCCTAAGTTGTGTTATGAAAAATAATTGTATTGTTATTATGAGCATAGTAGGTCTATTAAGGTATGAGGGAGCAATTTCTAGGCAACTCGAGGTCCATATTCTCAAAATTTTCACACCTCAGGCCCAACCATGGTCAGGCTGAGGTGGTGTGGACTCCTGCGCTCCCCCTACCACCAATTCCTGCATCCACCCCAGTTCTGTGTTGATAATTCAATATGTATATATGAAGTTTTGACACAAAACAAATCTGTGCTGAATTCTGGTCTTATTTTCCGAAATGTGCTAACAGATTTCTAGCCCTAGGCCTAGGTTTTGCACGGAGGATATGCTAGGCTAGCTAAGTTCTAGGCCAAACCGATCTATTTAGGTGTGTTATAAAACAAATAATTGAAAGATTGACTGTTCCATTCAAAATATTCTTCCCATTGCACTCATAAACATTCATTATTTGTATGCTATTCATTATTCATTATTTGTATATTGTAAAATCTGGGTGTCTAAGACTGGTTATTTTCGTGTTTCAGGCAAATTTACCAGGGTTCTACGATCCTTGCGTGGGAGAGGAGAGCTGTCTACGCGTGTTGTATCGTTTTCATAACACCCTTCACGAGTGTACTGTAGCTGACAACGAATCACTCAGGATACCTAAACAATGTAAGTTTTAATTTTTCTTTATGATAAACAATAATGATGATGATGAGGAAAATGATAACGAGGATGATAATGACGACAACGATGATGAAAGTTGCGATGTAGATGGTAATGAGGATGATGCTGTTATTGGTTTGTATTTAAGGAAAAAAATCTCAGTGAAATAGAATATTAAAAACAATGATGAGGATATTGAAGATTAAATGATGATTATTACTGTACAACAACAATAATAATAGTAATAATAATAATAATAATAATAATTCTTTATTGGTTCTCATTCAAATTGGAATTATGAAATTCGGGCTTGACCCCTGGCAACCTGTGGCGGCCACAGTTCAGCACCACCCATCCTAACTACAACACATAAGGGACACATACTGATACAAACATTGTCCTTAACCTTCTTAACTCTCAATATGAGGTTCATTTGAAGAGCCAAGTAATCAGAATCCAATTAAAACCCAAATCTGGCAGGGTTTGAACTGGGGTCTCTCAGCCAACTGCTCAGCACAATAATAATTATGTCCAACCTCTTGGACATTTTGTTGCTAGTATTCATTGTGAACATTGTTATATAGGAATTCTTAGATCTGTAATTACAGTATAATAATTTTTTAAAAATCAAATGATAATGATGCAACAATAGAGGCAACACTGGAATTATTTTTGTAGTTTTTTTTCTATACTTGAAGGTTTTTAATGAATATAAAAAAATCACCTTTGGCCGGTTCAAACCGCTTGTTTTTTACGACTTACACCGGTTATCTGTAAAACTCAATCTTAGAACTGAGCTTAGTTATACATGAAGGTTTTTTACAAGCACACTGGAAAATCAGATTTTGGGTACAGCTCTCAGTGCTAAACTAAAAATTCACTTTGGCCCTCCAAACCATTTTTATGTCCAACCTTGATAGTCTCAAAGTACATTTCAATTCAATACAATGTCTTTTTCATTTCAAAACAAAAGAATTACTGTTAATTTGAAAAAGTGTGTTAGTTTGTTTTGTTGGTTTTATTTTTCAGCTCATCGTTTGGACCCCAGCTGAGAAGAGAGAACATAAAGGCAGAGTTGATGAAGAAATTTGATTTAAAAGAATGCACAACATATAATGCAAATATTACATGGGTTATTAATCAATGAATAATTGTTGAATTGTTTTCTCAAAGTTTTTGGAAAAAGCAGTTCATAATTTTATCGCAGTAGATCCAATGTTTCAATTTTTTTGTTCTTTAACAACAAGGCAATGCCTAACTTGACTTTCAATTGCGAATAGAGGACACTTTTACATGAGTATAATTGCATCATTGATGACTGACTACTATTTTGATAGTAGAATGTAAGACATTTTAAGATATAAAAAGTGTGTAGAATAAAATTCATTTATGAACCACATTAAATGTTTATTCTCTTCTTTCTAAATGCATATCACAAAAACACTGAGTTATTAAAAATGATAATAAAAATCTAATCATTATTATTATTATTGCCATTGTTATGCATTTGATTTAATTTCGAATTTCAACAAACGAGAAAGACTTCTTTCTTATATAAAATAATTTACATTGTAATGGCAACCAGTATAAAATACTGTTAAACCAGCTGTTGAACAATGCACACCTCTCCACCGTCCTCCCTTTTCTCTACACACATACACAAGCTCACAAACGAATTTTTAACAATTTTGTGATCATTATCATAGATAATTATTATTGTCATTGATTTTATCGCCACTATTCTTGTATTCATTATTCTTCTTCTGCTAATATTATTATTATTGTCAATTTATTAGTATGATCATAACCAGAATCGCTATTATTGAAAACGGTATTGTTTCCATCATCATTAATATCGTCATGATTCAGTATTATAATGATATGATAGAGATAAACTCTAAATCATCTTGTGGTAATGCTGTAAATATATATAAATAGATTTCAAGCGTTAAAGTCAGACTCCGGAGAAAAAACTTGTTTGACGAAGAACTGGGGAACGGTGAATGAGATACAGATTTTTGAATATTTAAAAACTGGGGATAAAAGGTGTAAAATTGGGCGGTTACGCCCCTTTTTCCTCAGCTCCCCCTCCCCCCCCCCACTTTCGGTCTGGTCAAGGTCCCCCATTAGTCAAAGCTCGTCAAGCAGTCGTACCAAAAAAAAAAAAAAAATAGGTCTAGTTTTCCCATCCCATCCGGTAAATGATCATGGTTGAGCAAACCCTTATTCTGTTTCTGTGTATGACCGAATTTTATGGGCAATAGCTTCTTTGTATGAAAGGCCTAAATAAATTGTGGTGAATAAAATGACACCGTAGTATTAGCGAATATCTATATCAACATTTATTTTAAAATTTGCAGCACTACATAATCAAAGTACGTCAAGCATTATGCATTTGTCATTGAGTACAATTTATGGGCCATTTATGTCCAAACATTTATTGACGTAGCTATCGGTAGATTTCCCGTTGATTTATAATAGGTCAGTACTGGGGAGGGACAACTTGATTTCCTCCTCCACAAAGCAGCCATTCGTAGATGCCTATATGGAAACCTACCTAAAATGGACTAAATTGCCACAAGACGAGTTAACTTCGGCTTTGAATATATGAAAAATTGAAATGTGTTAAACTAAGTATGCAAGGCACTAATCATTAGAGGTATTGGTTCCACCAGCCTACACGTTTCAATAAATATTCATAATAATATTGCAAATTACACAACCTGAAATTTTTAGTAAAGAGTGAAAATACATTACTTATAATTATTACCTTCTACAAAATTCAAGCACATAAATCATCTACAAAGCAGTAGCAGTAGTAGTAGAAGTAGAACTACAAATTGGTAAAAGTACATCAACAATCCGTTAATACCATAGAAACTACAAATTCACATCCATATAGGCATAACTAATTATATTATACACAAAATACAGGCTAAATCAAGGACTTTTGTTAATAGTCCTTGCTAAAATGTCGAACAAATAGTAAACTACTTTAATCTGGTATTTTACCTTAGATCATCCATAAATACTAAATCAAACCATTTCACGACAGCAATAATAAATTTGCGAAATATGAAATTAATTATCTGAATTAGACACGCCAAAAATTATTTGTGATATCTTAAAATAATCTACACATCTTACCTCAAATACAATTTAAGCAACTATAGTGAAATACAAATCAGTAAATGTAGTAGTAGTAGTAGTAGTAGTAGTAGCAGTAGTAGTAGTAGTAGTAGTAGCAGCATTAGTAGTAGTAGTAGCAATAGTAGCAGTAGTAGCAGCAGCAGCAGCAGTAGTAGCAGCAGCACCGGTAGCAGTAGTAGTAGAGCTCTATTTATTCACGAATACACATCTTAAATTAGATACAATTTATTCATAGTAAATATACAAATCGGTAAAAGTACATCACTAATTCGTCACAGTAGTAACTACAATTTCACATCCAATAGGCTATTATTTGTGATATTCCAATGCGCTGTACATACCTTAATCAATAGGCCTATAGTTAAATAGAAATCGGTAAAAGTACATCAATAATTCGTCAATTTAAACTACAAATCACATCTAATAGGCTTAACTATTTGTAATAACTCAATGCGCTCTACACCTTAAATTAAATAAAATTTAACCAACTACAGTATAGTGAAACACAAATCGATAAAAGTACATCAATAATTCGCCAATACCATATAGTAACTATAATTTCACACCAAATAGAATGCCTCAATGCGCTCTAAAGACATTACATTAAATACAACCAACTAAAGTCAAATCTGTAAACGTACATCAATAATTCATCAATACAATAGTAAATGCAATTTCATATCCAATAGGGTGAACTATTAATTGTAAAATCTCAATGCGCTCTAAATACCTTACATTAAATAATTTAGACAAATATACTGAAATTCAAATAGGTAAAATACATCGATAATTCGTCAATAGAATAGTAACTACTCTTTCACATCGAATAGGCTTAACTATTATTTTGTGATATCTCAATTCGCTCTGAACACCTTACATTAAATAGTAGTAGAGCTATATTTATTCACAAATACACAGTGACACCTTAAATTAGATACAATTATTCATAGTGAAATACAAATCGGGAAAATACATCAATAATTCGTCACAGTATTAACTACAATTCCACATCAAATAGGCCTTTACTTGTGATATCTCAATGCGCTAGGCCTACAAACCTTAATCAAATACAGTTTAATCAATATAGTTAAATAGAAATCGGTAAAAGTACATAAATAATTCATCAATACAATAGTACTGAAGTTTTACATCCAGGGTGAACTATTAATTGTGATATCTCAATGCGCTCTAAACACCTTACATTACATTACAACTACACTGAAATGCAAATAGGTAAAATACATCAATAATTCGTCAATACAATAGTAACTACTCTCTCACATCGAATAGGCTTAACTATTATTTCTGATATCTCAATACGCTCTGATATATCAATAATCCGTTAATACAGTAGAAACTACAAATCCACTTCCAATACGGGCTAAATAGTTGAAAGTCCTTGCTAAAATGTCGAACAAAGAGCAAACTACATTATTCTGATACTTTACATTAGATCATCATAAACCAAACCATTTCACGACAACAATAATGTATTTGCTTAATATAAAATTAATTATCTGAATTAGTCAATCAAAATAGAAGCATAGGCCTAAATATTAAATAAGATTAATAAAGGACAAAAATTGGTATTTTAATAAATAATGTTAAAATAGTATGAAATTAGTTATTGGTTAATTGCCATTTGAAACAGATAATATTTGAGTTGAGATTTAAAATCATACTATAGTTTCCACTAATTTCATAGTCATTTTTAACAAAAATCTAAAGAAATTCACAATAAAACCAATCAAAGACCCCCCCCCCGTCGACAAAAAGGGACCCACACAAGCTCCACCGGCACACTATGAATGAAACCCATCCCATCTAGTTTGTTTTTTATTGGTTTAGTTTGTATACCTTACTTGCAACACATTTGTTAGGCTATATATTACAATAAAGACATTTTAATTTTCAGTGCATGTACATTTCTAAAAATATTAATTTTATTTTTACATCAAATTTAGAATATATAAATTCTTTTATTTTAAATTACAGTGACAAACATTTATAATATTCATGCATTAATTTAAAATCCATTGCTAATTTTCAACATTATTGCAAATAATGCCGAAGTGTTAATTGATATTAGATAGGCCTATTATTATTTCCTATCTACAGGCACAAATAATCTGGAAATAGGCAATCTGCATTCTGACCCCCGGCCGATAGCTGGTAGCTTGGACCTGCTTAGACACGAGAAGTAGGCCTAAGGCGAGACTTTTTTATACCTTGTTTAGCGAACCCGCTGACTGCAAAATTTTGATGATTTCGATTTCAAATAAAAATCCATGAAATCTTTGGCCAATTAGCGCACCCACCGCCACGAAAAATTGGAATTTCAGAAAAAAAAAAAAGTTCTTCTTTATTTTTATTACGCCCTCGGCTGCCTGAAATCTACAAAGATAAGATATGTATATTTCTTTCTAATTATATAAATTTGAAGCATTTAACCATCCTATTTTACATTCACAAATAACATTTTATTTTTGTTTTCTTCTCCGTCTGGATGTTTTTGGAAAATCTGTTTGCTAAATAAGAAAACAAACTTTTATTTTTCTTTTTATTCCGCCCTCCTCCGATGATCTTTAAAAAATCAATACGCGAAACAAGTAATAAAAAAAGTTCCGCCTAAGTTATTGTACAAGCTAGTCCACACATCTGACTTTGCTACAAAGCGCTATCCAACTTTCGCAGAGCGCTGGTGGCGCTCTGCGAAAGTTTCTAACACTAGGACAAATCAATAAATTTGTATAGCGCCTCCCATCGAAACCAACCTCGAGGCGCTTACAACAACGATCACACGAAACCAACATGATTAAAAATTGCATCCGAATGACAGTGAGTTATTGAAATTTCAAATATTAGCCTACATCCAACTGACGGCCGAGCTAAGCTGCCCTCTATTATTAGAGTAAAAATAATTACAGCAATGGTTTTCAGGCATTACTTGCCAATTCAATATCCATAAACCCATTTATGGCCTATAACTTTAGTACACTTCAAAATAAGTAAAGTATTAAAAGTTGGTTTATATATATAGAACAAACATGTTATTAAAATATATTATACCAAGATGTAATAAATTAGTACATTTAATTTATAAGGTAACAGTATAGGCCAACAATTGGTTTAAACATAAAGGTGTTGTGTCACCTCACCAACAACAACGTATTAATAATATAAATTTAGTTTAGTCACCAAAGTTTGTCTAACGAATAATCATGCACTCAAAATCTGTGTTTACATGTCTTCAACAACGATACGGCCGGTGTTGTGGGTAACACTCCTTACAGTAGTCGTGTTACTTTCCTGCGTTATCCGACTAGCAAACTTCTTTTTGAATGCTTGTCGCACCTAAAATACAATTGGAATACATTAATTGTTACCAGTTTAACTATTTCCCATCTTTATGCGTAAAGATTGTTTTCTTTTTGCTGTCTGCAAATGTTCATCTTTTAAACAGCCCTACAAATGCTGCTATGTCAACTAAAATTTCTAGGATTAAAACGTCTAAAAAGATTATGTTTGTCTAAAAATACTATTTGGGTCAGCTAAACTAAAGAGTCCATCTACAATGATTCAAAAGGACAAATTGTTTTTAATATAATATTCAAATCAACATCAAATCACCTCATTGCTAAAGACGCACTGCGAAAGCCAGACGAAGAATCCTTGCATGGAATTTAATATAACATAAATGTATTCCATGATCTTCCAGTCACAAAAAATGATGATGACACCAAAAATCCACGAAATGCCAACAGCTGGTGCAAGAAGCAACAGACCCTGAAACACATTTCTGTTAAAACAAAATAAAATACATTCTTTACAGAACGTGGTTATATAGCACTGCAGTATTCTTTCCAACTGTAACCAATAACACGAAGTGTCATTCAAACTTAGAACTGACCAGTAAAAACAGTTGCAGGATTACGGAATTGTCCCACTTACACACAGGTTTATAATTATGTTTTAACTAGGTTTTACCTTGTCGTTTTTTGGGGACATTAGCAACAATATCAAAGAAAGGCACAAGGTTTATTGGAAACTTCCATTCCACAATAAACAATATATAGTGTGTTCTACACTTGTAGCGTCGGTAGTGGTCAGTATTAGGCTCAGAGGCGGCGCTACGGGGGGAG